TCGATGACGACTTCGAACGGCTTCGATGGGTCGGTGATGCGCAGCACAGGAGGGGAAACTAGTAAGTTCTTGAGTTCCTGGAAAGCCGCTTCTGCCTCCTCCCCCCACACAAAATTCCTGTCCTTGTGCAGCAGGTCGGTCAGCGGGCCGGTTATCCCCGCCATATTCGGGATAAACCGCCTGACGTAATTCACGAATCCGAGAAAACTCTGGAGTTCCGTGACATTCGTCGGGGACTTCCACTCCTGTATGGTCTTGATTTTCGCCGGGTCGATTTTAATGCCGTCGCGTGAGATGACGTGCCCCAAAAACTCCAACTCCTGCTTAAAAAACTCGCACTTAGAGCCCTTGGTGATGAGTCGGTTCTCCTGCAGCCGCTTAAACACTGCATCCAGGTCACGGAGGTGCTGCTCTCGTGTCTTGCTAAAAATAAGGATATCGTCCAAATAGACGATGACGCATCGGTCTAGATGATCCCGAAAAACCCTGTTCATGGTCAGTTGGAATGTTGAAGGCGCGTTCGTGAGGCCGAAAGGCATCACCGTGAATTCGTAACTCCCGTAGCGTGTGCGAAACGCTGTCTTGTGACAATCGTCGGCGAAGACCCGAATCTGGTGGTAACCGCCACGTAAGTCAATTTTCGAGAAGTAACGAGCGTCTCGAAGCTGGTCAAGAAGGTCGTCGGTGCGTGGGATTGGGTAGCGAGACTTGATGGTCACCTGGTTCAACGCGCGATAATCGATGCACATGCGAAGCCCACTGTCCTTCTTCGGAGTGAACAGGATCGGCGCCGCGAACGGGGAGGTGCTCGCCCGAATGAACCCTTTCTCCAACAGTGCGTCAATTTGTCGACGCAGCTCCTCGAGTTCCGGCTGGGTCAACCGCCACTGTGTTCGAACCGTCGGTTGCGCGCCAAGCTCCAGCTAGATTTTATGGTCTTCTGGTCTCTCGGGTGGCAGCCCAGGTGGCAGGTCGTCCGGGAAAATGTCGGGTACCTGTCGAATCAGCTCCGCTAAATCCGGAGGTACAGCTGCACACAGCTTCTCAATGTCCTTTCCGTCGGTGTCGACTGCCAACTCGCGTAAGCAGACAGCGAACAGCTGCGCGCCCTTGTTGAAGTGGCGAGCTATAGTGATGGCTTTGACGCACGGGGCTTGGATGTAGTCAGGTGTCCATGCAGGCAGCCGAATTAGCCCCTCGTGCTTGCTGATGGTGCACGATCGTGTTGTCCAGTCGATGACGGGGTTGTGTCGTCGCAGCCAATCGCGTCCCAGCAACACGTCGCAGCCGTCCAATGTGTCAGAATGTTATCTTATGTTCTAGCCTGTAGTGGGGTGCTCTATAGCGAGTACAACCCTTCTAGGGTTTGCTATTTGTATCCCCATTTCTGCTAGTTCAATCCCCCCTCTTCTCTCTTCTAATTTTATCATGCTATCAGAGCAGGTCGATCCCCTTGGATCGATCCTGTGGGTGGGTTACCACCTCCACGCTTCCGCTACCATTTTTTTTTCTTCCCGCCGTGCGCCCCGAGGCGCGCGGCGGTTTTTTCTGCCCGCCGTGCGCCCCGAGGCGCGCGGCGGTTTTCTGCCCGCCGTGCGCCCCGAGGCGTGCGGCGGTTCTCTGCCCGCTGTGCGCCCCGAGGCGCGCGGCAGGCTTCTGCCCCGTCGTTCGCCGCGTCGCCCTCTGGAGGCGCCGCGACGGGCGACGGGGACCCGTCGCGGCCCCGCCGCCCCACCATCGCGGCCCCGCCACCGACCTGTCGCGGCCCCGCCGCCCCACCATCGCGGCCCCGCCACCGACCTGTCGCGGCCTCGCCACCTCCGGTCGCGGCCGCGCCACCTTCTGTCGCGGCCCCGCCACCGACCTGTCGCGGCCCCGCCGCCCCATCATCGCGGCCCCGCCGCTTTCCTTCGCGACCCGTCGCCCTACTCGTCGCGGCCCCGCCCCCCCCCCCCCCCCCCCCCCCCCTTCCCCCCCTTTTCCCGTCGTCTGTCGAGGCGACCTGAGGGGCGAGCTGTGGGGTGGCGGGTATGGGGGTGGCCGGTGTGCATTCCTCCCTTTGCTCCTCCTCCTCCTTCGTCTCCCACTGCTGCAGCTGTCGCTGAGGGGGGTGGATGTGTGGGAGACTGGGTTTAGGGTTTAAGGGGGGTGCGTGGGAGTGGAGCTAGCGGTGTAGCAGTGGGTGTGTATCAGGGGGGTGGGACTGTCTGCGGGAGGTTGAGTGGAGGCTGCCAGCTTGTTGTCCGCAGCACCTGTAGTCCGGGGCGTTGTCCCGGTAGCCCAGTGAGCTTGTCGCTGCGCCAGTCGCCTGTGGGTCCGTTGCCCGTCTGCCGCTGCTTAAGCCGCGGGGCCTGTTGCTCCTGTAGTCCGGGCGCTTAGTCCGGTAGCCACTGTGCTCGCCACTCCTGTTGCCCGTGTGTCTGCAGCTTCAGCCGCCGCCTTCTATCTCCTCTCCTCTCACTCTCTCTCCTCCTCCTCACTTGCCCGTTGTGACTACCACTAGCTTTGCTCATAATTGTGCACTCTAAACTATTTCTTCTTGAACTTGTGCTCAGAATGTGTGGTGACATTGTGATCCACCCTGAGCTTGTACTGCTTTGCCTGCTCTGCTGATTACACCCCACTTTGGCTATGGGGGTGTGTCAGAATGTTATCTTATGTTCTAGCCTGTAGTGGGGTGCTCTATAGCGAGTACAACCCTTCTAGGGTTTGCTATTTGTATCCCCATTTCTGCTAGTTCAATCCCCCCTCTTTCTTTCTCCTAATTTTGTCACAATGTTGTCGCGAGAAACTTCATGCTGAAGCCGAAATCGTCGCCGCATTCGATCCTAACCGTCCGTGTTTCTTCCGTTATCGCCAGAGGCGTCCCATCCACGAGGCGTGCGTCGATTTCGGGCAGACACCTGTCAAGTTGCAGCTTGCATCTTTTTGCGCTCGCCAAATTGAAGAGGCTATGGCTGGCCCCTCCATCGACGAACATTTTCAAATGATTTTTTAACACCTTGCCAGCGACCAGCACAGGGTGATCCACATGATTATCCCCGTTATTCGGCCGAGTACGATCAATTGCATGAATCGGAACCACGACTCGGTGGGGATGATGGTGTTCGGGCGACGGAGCACAGTCAGTAAAGGGCCCGCTAATTACTGACTCTTCCCATTTCCCTGCTCCTTCCTGTCGTCCCCTGTCAGCGCCATTTTCTCTTGGCAGTCTTTCATGTAGTGACCCACCTTCCCACACCGAAAACACTGACCCTTAGGAGGGCGGTCGGGTGTATGGACGGCGTTGATCGTGGCCCGATGGGTCTGGCCACGAAAGCTTCTCCCATCCCTGGAAGCTGCTCTCGCGTACTGCATCAGCGCATCAGTTGACTCCGCCACTCGTATTGCTTCGAGGAACGATGTCGGGCGGCTTCTGCGGACCTCAAACTGTATTTCATATTTAAGGCCGCTGACGTACTTATCCAACCGCTCTGCTTCCGACATGTCGTCAATTTGGTCGGCGAAGCCCATAAATGACGCTGTGTAGTCTTGGACAGAAGCCATATGCGACCATGCACGCAGCTTCATGCGAGCTTGCTCCGAGGCGGATATGTGCTCGAAGCGATCTCGTAAGGCTGCGCCCCACTCCTTCCACGTGCGTATCTTGGTCACACGGAAGATTGGTTCTGCCACTTGATTAACCACTGTAGAGGTCCCGTCTGCTGCATGTGTCACACCTGACGGCGTCCCTGTTTCCAAGGTCCGGCGCCACCATTCAAGCGTTGCACCTCGAAGAAGCGAAACCGCGTAATTAATACGCGTGGCGTCGCTATTAACTCCGGCTGCAGTAAGAAAGACTTCGACCCCGAACAGCCACCCTTTTACCGTAACCGTCTTGTCCGTAGGATTAATCAGGGGCGGGTTGGCGGGCTTTATCTTGATCGTCGTTACTGCAACTGGCGCTGCTGCCGCTCGCTGCCTATCTTCTTCGAAGTCACGTGTGAGCGCATCCAGCGGATTGCTCATCGCTTGACTGTTGCCCTCGCCTTCGTCCACAGGCGACTCCTGACGCGCTTCACCTCGCGTCTGGCGTAGCTCGGCGTTTTCCTCCCGTAACGTTGTCACTTCCGCCATTAGTGATTCCATGCCCTGCTTCATTTCTGCCACTTGCGCCATCAGCCGGTTAACAGCCTCCTGATCCATGTGCCTAGCACTACGTCTGGTGGGCAATCGGGTACCCATGGCCTCCCGGCAAGTGAAAACACGAACTATCGGAGTCGGGCAGGATTGAATTAACAATCCCTGCAACCAACCGTCGTGTAGTCACTAAACCAACCACACCCGTGCCACCAAACTACCCTCGAAAAGCGGGGTGAACTAGGAAAGTAGCTCTGATACCAGGTGTCATGAGTTGTAAAAGAGAGTGCGCAGGTAAACGAATAACGAGGCTGTGACTGAATGAACTGCGAATGCAATGAATGCACAGACTAATGTAGGGCTAGCCTAGCTAGGAGGAAACCTCGGACAAGCGAGGTTGGGTGCAGGTTTGGCGATGGAAATGCCGAAGGCGACGCGAGGAGCCTCGGCAACGTTGAAATCGGCCGAACGTGCGAACTCCGAAAATCGGGTTGTACGCGAAGCAGTCAACCCCGATAAGGAATTCAGGAAAATTCCTTACACGGTTTTCAAGTGATAATCTGAGGCCTCCCGCTCTAGGTATGTAGACCGCAGCTTTAAAGCATGATTATATTGCAATAGGAGGTATAAATAGCTCTCAGAAGCCACTTGCAGCAAGCATATATAAACAACGCCATGTGCGTTTCTTTTGTTCCTTGCCATTTGGGTGCTCGACTCGAGCATGATGGCTACAACTTTGATCAGTCCAACCCTTCAAATCTTCTTGGGCTCATGAAGCACCTGCACATGGACACAACAGCCCAATGAACACTCGGTGAATGACTGCTAGTAGGACAAAGGAAAATAATTTATCATACACATGTCATGCATACTAAATAACCTCACCTGGCCGTGGTGCAAGATGTACTGCCACTGGTGCTCTTAGTGAGTTCTATCCTCGCTATAGAGCGAATCGCTGTGCTGCCTATGTCAAAAGCCGGCATCGGCTTCCCGTTGATGCATACGGAACGTCGATAAGCTATCGACTGGTTTGTTGGGGTTCCCGGACAAGGGCTGCGAGGAAAGAAGGGATTAGAATAAAGGAGGCGAAAAGAGAGGAAAAAAGGGAATGAGATGGAGGGATTGAAAGCAAGGTGGTGAGTTGAGATGAGGGAGGGGATAAAGAGGTAGGAGGGTGTTAGAGGAAGGAGGGAACTGAGGAGGAGGGGACTCAGAGGATATAGGATGCATCCCCAAAAATGGTGTATGGAACAAGAAAGCATGGTTACCAAGAAATGGTGGAAAAAGTAGACGTTGCCGAGGGGAGTAGGAGTAGAGGGGGAGGAGGAGGTATGAGGGGGCTGAGAGGGGACTAGGAGGGGAAGACAGAGATTTAAGAAATGCTTACGCCTCAGGGTTATTAGACACCACGCTCCATTGCTTATCCGGGGAGTTTGCTGGAGTATCCATTATAACAGTCAGCCCTCCCATGCACCCCCCCACATCCAGCATCATCAGCTGTACAGCTGAGGGGTAAAAATATGCTGGACCTATTTCCGACCGTTGGATCGTCACCCGGTACGAGAATCCGGCCAATAGCGTCGCAGTGACCTGCCGCAGAAGCGGCCGAGACGCGCCGTACCGCTTGGGGAAATCGTCATCGTAATCGTTATCCGATCCCACCGAGACGAACGTCGCGTTATCCTGTAACCGCAGTGAACGTAACATAGCTGTACGGGCGGCGATTCTTGTCCTTTC